TGTGTGAGAGCAACATGTTGCCAGCTGCTGGTGGGAAAATATTTATTATATTTTCGGCAACTATTATCTATTAAAATATAACGTTCAATAGGAAAGATGAAATTGAATTAGTATTTTGTATTACATTTTATTTATATTTTTAAATTTCACATTTCAAGTTTAATTTTTTAAAAATTTTATTAATAAACTGAATAATATTTACAATAAATTATGTAGTTCATTTCCAAATTTTAAATTGTTATAATCTTATTAAAATATTTAAATTTTTGCTAAAGATAGATAGTTATGCGTTTTTCCCAGTGTAGAAATGTCAAAGTTATGATTTAATCTAACAACCATGTGTAGGTTTTGCATGAATCACCCTGTAGTTTGAAGTTTGATCTGCCGTTTTTCATGCTGTCTTGCAACCTGCGATCGATCCCTCGAACTGCTGCTGCTTGTTGCTGCTGTTGCTTTTTGATGTTGCAGTTGCTGTTGCGTTTGCAACCTTTGGCTCGAGAGTCCTGCCACACACACACTCTCGCATACACACACACACACTGAGGGATATTTACAGCTGCATGTCCTCTCTCTTTCATTAACACAGAAACACACACACAGAGGCAGCAAGACACGGATACGAACATGCGGCGTTTGAAGTGCGCTTTTGTTGCTTTTGCTGCTGGTGTTGTTGTTGCTGTTGTTGTTGTTGTTGCTGCTGCGCTGCTGTACAGTTGTTGTTCCAATTAAAAATTTTTTTCCCTAGTTTCGCGCTCACAATGCGAACTTGCAATCTATGTGCACTACGAGATATTTTCTGCTGCTTTTATTTTGATACCCTTAAAGAGAGTCAATCAGTTTGACAAGGGGCTTGTAAAGACATATATTGACTCTTTAAAGGATATGATTGATAGGTTTGATTATTCGCAGCATTATAAACATCGCCTACTCTAAGAGATATTAATAGCTTTAAATTTTATTTGTGCGACTTCAGTTGGGCCTCTTAAGATGCAGATCGAATAATAGTAAATTCTATCAAAAAAGTGAGTTGTTTTTTATAAGTTATATATATAAAATAGATTCAATACCTTCTTGAAGTTGAAGTGTAATCAAAGTTCGTCCTGGCAAAGCCAACTTTCTTTCTCGCTGCTGTTGCTGCGGTGCTGTTGATGTTGCTGTGGTGCTGTTGCTGCTGCGCTGGACGCAGGACACGGAGGCAGGACCTTGTGGGCATGTGCCATATATCCTGGCATTGCACTGGCTGCCGTTGCGGGATTTTGGTACAATTTGCCTTCTATGCTTTTGCCCCTTTTTTATTTTTGCGCAAAGAGTGGGGGCGGCTCTATATGTCAGTTGATTTCATTTCACTTTTTTTTCTGGTGGTCCTTTTGCAACCTCGTTTCATGCCAACTATTAGTGGAGCTGCCATTTTTTCGCCTTTTGATACAGAGCAGTCCACGGTGGAAAATGGAAACCTTGACAGTTGCATTGTTGCCTGGCGCTGACAGAGAAAAAAAAGGAACAACAGAAAATAAGAAAACAAGGAAAAGTACGCGGAACGCGACTGCCTATTTGCATTGCGTAATGGAAAATCATTCAACCTAGGGGCACAACCCTTACCCGTCCTTACCCAAATCGGAATTGGAATCTTCCACGGAACACTGACCTGTCCCATACACATCGAGTACCCATAAAATCCCACGGGGAACCTAAAAGAAACATCTGCACAAACAACAAGATGCAGCCGGCTTTTGGGTCATAATTTTCTCTTAGATAGTTGTTAAGTTCACGATCTGCAGACTCAGGTTCTAGTTTTGGTTTGCTACTACTTGAAAGCACGACTCTCTTTGGGCTTGTGCATTTTGCTCTCCGTTTTTTTTTTCTTATTTTTTCCGCTCTTATTTGGCTTTCTGCGTGTCCTTTGTGAGGACAGCAAAGGACATTCACACTGCAAGCAGCCACAATAAAAAGGCAAACGCCAAAGGAAACCAGAAATGTATCTGACAGTTGGTGCTGCAGAAGTATTTGAAAAATGAATGAAATGCGCGCAGAAAATAGGAAGAGATAAGTATTTAGGAAAAATGTATAAATATGAAAAATATAATACACTGTAAAGGGGGAATAAGTTAACAGTTAGAGGGAATAACCCTTTTGTGTTAACTAAAAAGATTGTCAAAGACTTTTACAACTTTCTTTCTTTACTTCTTAGTTTATCTTCCCAACAATAATGAAATTAAATATTAATTCGGTATTTCCTAATACCTCAATCAATAAATAAAATTTCTCAAGGTGTAGCCAACTTTTAGATCGATTTAATATACCCAACGCATACTCAGACTAACTTTTCCAAGGGCAAACAGCTAAGGAAGAGTGAAAATCTCTGGCTGAAGTTGAATGCACCAGAAGATGCATGGCATCCGGCAGGACCAGAGTATCCTGTGGATGCATATCCTTGCCACGTTTTAATTTATTTCATTCCGTTTAAGATCCGCCAGTTGGTCGCTGTTGGTTTTTAGTATCTCCCGGCTCCAAAGGAGCATTTCCAGAGTATCTCAGTATCTCAGTATCTCAGTATCTGAGTATCTCAGCATCCGAGTATCTGGGTTTCGTTTTTTCCTTCTTCTGCTCATCTCAGAGTGGCAAATGCACACGTAATACGAGTAAAGCAAGCCAAATGCATTAACAGCAACAACAACTGCAATCGGCTAGAAAGAGAGGGGTGTATTTAGAGTAAAAGAGAGAGAGAGATGCACACCCATACATTGGCATATCCATACGTATATATATTTTTATTTGTGCCATTACAGCCCTCGTTGTTGTACGAGTTTTGAGTTTTCCGAAACTCTGAAATCATGAAAGGAGCAGATGTTAAATTTTTATACACAACGCACAGCAACAACGACGACGTCGACAGCGCTGCCACTGCATTGTTGTTGCTTCTGCTGCTGTTGTTGTTGTTGTTGTTGTTATTGTTTTTGATGCCTTATTCTGCACTGCTCGTCATCAGCAGACCATCTCTTTCGCTCACGATTTAGTTGCCAGGCAGCCGCAAATGCTGCCCTCTCTTTCTGGCCACTTTTACTGGTGTTGTTCGACTGGCAGAAACTTCAGCTGCTCTCTGTTGTTGTTGTTGGTTTTTAAAGGGATACATGGGAAGGGGATTGCCAAAAGAAGGGGGGAGGGAAACTGGACATTGACCGTCCTTAAAGGAGCCTGCAGCCTCAAACAAAGTTTCACTGGCGAAATCACATTTTAAGCAAGCGAATCTTGGAAGGAAATGTGTTTTTTTTTCTTTTCATACTTAAATATTTTTTAAATTAAAATATCATTTAACAATTTTACAAATTTTACATTACAAATCTTTGATGGATATATTTGTAAGGTTCTTAGAGCTAAATCATTTTCTGAGTAACACGAAATCTTTGCAAAAATTTAGATACTTCAGAAATTATATGCCCAATTTGGTTACAAATTTTTGTTATTATTTTCTTCTCCCTTTCCAAATCTTTAATTGCAACAATTTCCCCGCTTCCATCCCAGGCGAGTTGGATTTTTTGTTTTGTGGACTTATGCTTACCTGATTTGTCAATGCCTTTTTACCTGGTTGTCGACTGCGTATTGGAACAATAGTTTTCCATTTGGTGATGCTAATCATTGCTAAAACCCGGCACAATACAAGCTGGCAGGACTCTTAGTCCGCAGTCCCTCTCTTTTCCCTTCTCTCGGATCTCTACATATCCTTATACAGGGCAAATTAACCCTCGGCAGAGTCACGGGGTGTGAGTTGGACCTCAATAGCGCACGGTGGGTGGGTGTTATCCGTCCCACTGTGCCAGTTTGAATCGTTGCCGGTTGAAAGTGCAGTTGGCTGGTGAGTTGAGTTTTTCACAACAGGTACAAGACACAAGCTGCAGCAGCAGGACGAGGCTGTTGCACCTTTGCCTTAATTGAGATTTTCGACCATGCAAACACTCGAACTCTGACTTATCAATATATTTTCCATTGGTTGTGCAATTCGGAATATTGGCCAACTGGCCTCTGTGATTTATAAATAAAGGCAGTTATCAAGACACCAGGGATGGCCTGAGATATGGGAAAATGGGGTAGGGGAAGGGTGTTTGTGTGCTTAATAACTAAAATATTCTGTAAATGTTGAGAAATGGATTGGGAGACAAACTCTGTCTTACCAAAACACAGGATACTAATATCACATGGAAATATTCAAAAGACAAATATACAGTTTGCCATTAAAAATAAAAACATCGTATTTTAAACCCAAGATGTAATGTACAGGATCCTTAAACTTCAGCTGCTTCCTTCTGTACTTTCTCAACATTCTGTCACCAACTGGGGCCATCTGGATCACTTTTAGTGCCACAGATGTACGGATGCACGGGCATACATCATCGCGTAGTAATATCGGCCTTCAATACATCCATTCCGTATCCTCAGAGGCACCGAGTCTTCATCCGGATTCTCATCCCTATACCCCCGAGCATCCCGCTCTATCCATATATGAGATGGCCCCCTTTTTTTTGAGCCGCGCTTCGTGCGCGTGACACCTGATGTTATTTTACGATTATTGTTTCTGGATTTATGGAACGCAATTGCATTTGCAGCAGCACGGCAGGTGTTGTTGCTGGTCTGTTTTTGCTGGCACTGCCACTGCGGAAATTCTCATTTCACCAACACACAATTAAAAGTTGCGAATCCTTTGGGGCTGTGTGTTGGCAAAGCGGGCCAAAGGAGTAACTGTATTAATTAAAAACCACAAAATCCGATTTGCACTACGCCCAGGGCTTAATAAAATTGTTTGTGGCAAATCTTCCTGTGGCATTATATGAATTGAATTGTGAGTCCTTTTGCATGGCATAAACTGTATTGGGATTTATAGAATATTGAGCAGCATTTTAATTTAAATTTCTTTAAATAAATAAATTGTTGTATATTTTTTAGTGTTCCAAGAAAAGACCAAACTTACCCCTTAGCCATATCCACCCCAAAATAAATCCAGTCACACCTTTAACTTGAAAAAAGCATCGCTCGAATATTTGTTTATTTGATATCCATTAGATCGCTCACAGGGTAAGACTAATGCTACTATACAAAACTCAAAGGGATTGTGCGGGCATAAATCCAATTTTGCATGCCTCACTCGATGTTTTCGATTTAAATTACATATTTTTAAGAACTACATTGTCTGTGTTTTTGTGTAACTACATGAGAGAGAGATATTGAGTGTTGTGTGTGTGTGTGTGTGTGTGTGTTTGCTATGTTTTCATATCATTTAGTTATCAGATATGATTTTTGCCAAAATAGCCGCCGAGGATATGGTGTCCTGTCCTCGTCGTTCTGCTCCTGCCGCACTTAATTGGCGGCTATCGTGCAGACACAGCAACTGGGAAACCAGAACGTGTCCGTGTACAGATTCTGCCCGTTGCCCTGGAGCGCAATTAAGCGCTTTTGCACAAACTTCTGCTCGCATCTCGAGTTGTAGCCGTTGGGCAATTCGCACAGGTTCGAGCAGGTGTTCGAGCTGAAAAATAAACGGAATACGAGTAAGTGCCGAATGCCAAATACCAAATACCAAATGCCAAAACACCAAATGTCGAGAATCAACAATTGTGCAGAATTTAGTTGTGGGTTGTCGGGCATAAATAAAGAGCGCCGGCTGTGACTCCTTTTCAAACGGAGGAAACGCAGATCTGCAGAGTTGAAAGTTTAACGAACTCGTTAAAACGGGAATCGTACGTAATTGATAAGGAGTCGCAGTCCGAGCGGAAGCAGAAACGGTACAATCCCTGCACTGGGAGCAAGTATTAGTAAATCTTCATTGCAATTAAACTAATCAGGTAAAGTAAGTTTTTTAAGATTTAAAAGTTAAGTTTAAAACGTATATATTCTCTATATTGTGTTCTCTATAATAGTGTTATCAATTTAGAATCTTTTTGATCTTAATTTTCTCTCCCTGTAGCCCTGCTCCCAGCTGTTCTTTGGCCAAGATTTATGCGCGCCTGCGTAGGTACTCCATTTGGTTAAACAAATTGCGCCAAGTACCGGGTTCAGTGCCAACAACAAGTGGTAGTGGAAAGCGACAGCAGTCCAGAAGTGAAAAGGGACTCAATTTTGCGACTGGGAAGCGGGACAAGCGGGCAACAATTAGGGCAACGCGTTGACCCAACCCAAAGAGCCGCCAGAAGGGAACCACCTCACCCCAATTCCTGCTCTTGGCATTTGTTTGCGCTTTTTCTGGATGAGTGTGGAAAGGTTTTCGAGTAGCGCACGCATCCAAAAAAAAAAAGGAAAAGGGGGAAGGACCAAGCAGAGTGCAAGGGGACAGCAAGGATACGGCCAAATGGTGGAATTCGCCCTGCTCTCGTATTTCCGACTCATTTTCGGGGTGTGATAATTCGTTTAACCGCAATTATGACACCGTATAAACGGGCCTTAGTTCGACCTGCACTAACCACGCGCCCGGTGGGAAAGGGAAGGTGAAAGATGCCGATGCCCCTGCCAGAACGAGAAGGACTCTCAGGGATTTCCCCTAGTCTTGACAAAAAAAAAAATATTAAAAGAGGGGAAAACCTCGGGCGTCCCGCTGCGAATTATTAACATTGGAATGGGGTTGGAATGACACCTCGTCACTGATTACAAGTGCTGAAAACGGTAAGGGGTGTGACTCCGGATCACAGGGAATGAAACGAAATAATGAGCGCGGAGGAAGGCTACTTCAAGGACGGCTGGGTGGACAAGTCACTCACTTAATCCCCTAACGCTACAAAATAATTACGGGCTGGTGAAATTTGAAGCAGAAGAATAAATAAATGAAAGCAAATAACATATGGTTAATAATCGAAATAACAATAAGTTCATTATTTAAATGTTGGCCAATAATATTTGCGGTTGAAAACTAATTCCATTTTTATGTTTTCCATATAAGCCAACCTATTGTTTGGGTGGGTCATAGCTTTTGAGATATTGTAAACATTTTATGTTAAGTCTTTATCCCTTTAAATCAAATATTTAATAAAAACCATTTAGCTTTACCTATTTTTTACAAAAAATGTATATCATGTAAATAAATATTGGTAGTTAATTTAAATTTTATTTAATTTATTAAATTTCATGAGCAATATCTTGATTTCGAACCAATAGCAAGAAAGCAGTGCACTGCTTCTTCGGCTCTTAGTCGAGACACAACCCATATGTAAAGTATATGTAAAATTCACTCTAACTCACAGCTGAAATTATTTAAATAAATAAAAAATAAAATGATTCAATTTAAATAACTCCAGAATCTTTCTATGTGGGTATGGCAATGATTTTCGGAAGTTAAAGTTTTTGTCAAATTTAACTTTTTTGTAAGGGGTACCATCATCTTTTTTTCCAAAAATTCCAAAAATATTTTTACCTTAAGATTTGAATGGGACTTCAATATTTTGAAAATAGATTGAAAAACAAGCCTAACGACATATGGCATTACAGATTCCGACTTTTTTTGGCTTTGTAATGAAGAAAATACTGATATTTCGAGCCTCAAATCCGGACGGACCGGTTTCGCGTTTTTCAACATCATAAATTTTACGAAAAATCTCAAAAAATGTACTTTTTGAGTGTAATACACAGTTCAACAGGGAATTTAAATACGAACTCAACGATTCTACGATTACTTTTGGCTCTGTAATGAGGGAAATACTGATATTTTGGGCGAGACATCAAAATTGTGACTTTTTAGTAAAATTTGTAATATTTTCCCCCAGTGTTATGCTTATAACTTTGTCAAATTAAGAGCCACAAACAAAAGGAATCCGTTTTTTTGCAGCTAACGACCCCAGAAAACTTTCTATCTGGGTATGAAATTAAATTTCGGAGATTAAAATTTTTCTGAAATTTCACTTTTTTGTAAGGGGTACCATCATCATTTTTTCGAAAAATTGAAAAAATATTTTTTCTTTCAGATTTTAATGGGACTTCAATATTATGAAAATAGATTCAAATACAAGCTCAACGACGTATTACATTCCAAATTCCGACCTTTTTTGGTATTGTAAGGAAGAAAATACTGATATTTAGAGCCTCAAATCGGGAAAAACCGCTTTTCGCATTTTTTAACATCATGAAAATTTACGAAAAATCTAAAATAAATCACTTTTTGAGTGTGGTACACAGTTCGACGGGGAATTTAAATACGAACTCAACGAGGTATACCTTTCCATGTTACGATCATTTTTGGCTCTTTAATGAGGGAAATACTGATATTTTGAGCTGAAAATCAAAATTTTGACTTTTGAGTAAAATTCGCGATATTTTTCCCCAGTCTTATGCTTATAACTTTGTCAAAAGAAGTCGCAGAACCAAAAGAAATACTGTTTTGTGCAGCTTACGACCCCAGAAAACTTTCTATCTGGGTATGGCAATGATTTTCGGAAATTACATTTTTTGTCAAATTTCACTTTTTTGTAAGGGGTACCATCATCATTTTTATGAAAAATTGAAAAAATATTTTTTTCTTCAGATTTGAATGACACTTCAATATTTTGAAAAATAGATTGAGAAACAAGCTTAACGAGATATAACATTCCATTTTCCGACCATTATTGGCTTTGTTATAGACAAAATACTGAAAATTCCAGCCTCAAATCGGGCCAGACCGGTTTTCGCATATTTTGAACATCATAAACATTTACGAAAAATCTCAAAAAATGTACTTTTTGTGCCTGGACCCAAGGTATGACATTCTATATTCTGACCGTTTTTGACTTTCTGAATAATTGTCAGAATTAAAAGCCTGTATCCTTCCGGCAAACTCTCCAAAACCCTCTCCCAATCTAAGGACACCCCCCTAAAAACTTTCACAAAACCCCAAAAACGAAACTATAGATATCCCAGTACCATAGACCTAATCCTAAAAATCTGTAACTCCCATTCTATTCCAACCCTCCAAAAAATTCAACATGCTCAACATCATCAAAGCCACAGACACCTCTCCTCTCCTTCGATTTTTCATAAATCCCCCGACTTGTACTTACGCACAAAGCTCCGCCTTGACCATCTGGCGGGCCACGTTCTGCTCGTTGACCACGAACATCCAGTTTCCGCGACTATTGAGTGCCGCCTGTGGTGTGATGAACTGCGAGGTCGTTTGGCAGAGGGTGGAGCGTCCCGGACTTTGTCGCTTTGTCCTCGAACGCTTCTTCAGCGGATTAGGGGCATCCACGCCCACGATATCCAAGAGATCCATGTTGAGCGACACATCGCGCTTGCTCAGCGAGTGATCGTCTGCCGGCTCGTCCTCCTCCTCAGCCTGCTCGGGCTCCGGTTCGACCACCTCCTTCTCTACATGCTCGTTAGCCTGCTTCTGCTTCCGGCTGAGATCCCTGACCAAACGCTTTAGCCATAGTGTGGCATTGTAGGGCGTTGACCTGCCACCATGATTGAAGTACAATTGGCCGCCGGAGGATGAGGTGCCACCACCCTGGGCATTGTAACGCTGACCTGAACGATGACCTCCGCCCGAGGAGGTGTATAGGAGATATCTTCGGTAGGAGTTTTAGAAAGAATGGATTACAATTAAAATAATATTGATAAGTACCTAGAATGAGTTGAACGTAAACCAAAAACCCATAAAGAGGGAAATCTTGAAAAGAATTTTTAATTAGATCTTAATGAAGTATTAAGAACACATATCATGGCCTTGGGTATTTAATATCTAATTAGAAGATAATAATGGTAGCATTGTGAGCTATTTCATAGTTGAATTTAAATTATCTCTTAAAAAACCATTAAAGCGTACATTGTAATGCTACTACATTGAAGGTCAAAATCTAGTTTTAGGCTCGAGATTTCCCTTTTTCTGTTATGGTACAAAACCATAAACGAATCTTTATAAAGACCTTGAGAATGGTTCTTATATTTTTTAATATATTCCAAGTACTCACGTTGGCGCTTCCGTTGAGGGATTGCTGATGAAAAGCGAGTTTCCACCGCCACTCGCCCGCTGGGGATTACCCCCGAAGGGAGTCTGATAACTATAGCCATTAAAGTCCTGGGCATTGGGATCGCGGGGCGGGAAGATGGACTTGGGATCATAGAAGACGGGAGTATCGTGCCACGCCACCGCCGCAAAATCCTCCCAGGTTTCGTCTACCAGCAGGGTGCTGGCCTCATAGCCCCACTTGCGGACGAGGCTCTTGATGAGATACCTAAATGAAAGTGACAAGAGGATATTATTATCAAGCTATTATCAAAGATATATCAGTCCAAAAACCTTATGCTTATAGTTGAAGAAATGAAAGAAATTCATTGCCTGTAAAAAGTATTTAAAGTTTGAAACTCTTTTAGTGATCCCAAAGATATTGCTTTCAGTGCAGTGTGTACCATTTGTATCTGTTAATGACGAGTGGAAAATGACCTTATTTTCAGATGTTTTTTCCTGCGTGCAAGAGGGAAACAATGAGTGATGCAAGCTGCGATGGTTAACAGGCTGGGAAAGCGAGTGCCAGCCACTTGTCGGAGCCAACCGAATTATGCAAGTCACAGACTGACTGACTGACAAGTGCCAGAAATTGCCATGGAAATGGTAATTGCGGAGTTGCCCAAGCCAAATCAAATATGAGTATCATAATTAATATGCGGCCGCAGGGCAAGAAGGAAAAAAATTGGGAGGCGCAGACATCGTAAATAATAAATTGGCAGTGCCGCAGTTTTTTTTTTTTTTTTGTCGTTTCTTATCAACAGACATCTCATGCCCGTCACGTGCCGCAGAAACGGCCAGAGAAAGGTAAGGGTTAAGGGGCGGACCCCACCTATATAAATATATAGTAAAAACCCGCTTGGGGCTTTCCCATATCATATCATTTTATATATTTTTTTGAGAATTATGCAACGCACAGAAATTCCAATGCAAGCTTTGTAATAAAAAGCCTATTTAATTGCCGCGTCGGCGCCGAGGGCTTATCAAGCCATTCGCATTACCATTACCAACTAACGCACATTTTATTTAAATCCGAGTCGAAGAAATGCTCTAAAAATAGACGAACAAACATGGCCAACCAGTCGGGCGAAGGCGGGTGATAAACAAACAAACAAACAAACCAACAAAACATCAAATTTGAGTGCCATCATTGGGGCACGTAAGACAAAAGATGCACTCTGGGGGTCAAATGGTGAATAATGGATGCTCTATCGATGGATGCCAAAGCCAATCTTATTTATTTTATTATTGTTTCTTCCATTAGCAATAAGATAGATAAAAACATGTGCTTTGATTTCCAGAAATAAACCTTTTATAAACCCCTCAAAGATTTCTTGCCATATCTCTTAGTTTTAAGTTCAATTACAATATGAAACCCTTGGTAATTAAGACAAGATCTCCCAAGCCCTATGTCTTATCCATATCGGATAATAAAAATATTTGAAAAATACCAATAAATTTATAAGCAAAATGTTTTATTCATTAGGACAAAAAATCAAGTTGTTCTCCAAACAAAAAATCTAAAGCACACCCAAAATACTCTGGCTCACGCGCCAAATTGCCGGTCTAGGCAACTTATGATGCCCCGAAGACACGATTATTCATTGGAGGCATTCATAAATATTCGAGAAGCACGCGGCCAGTCGTCGTCGTTGTCGTCGTCGCCAAAGTTATACTACACATATATGCTAGTAGGAGCCAAACAAAAAGTGTCTTGAACTGTCAATTCAAGTTTATTGGGTCAAGGAATTCCCCCAGCTGGCTGAGAGCAGAAGCCCCCAAACAGCATCTCAGCAGTATGTGAGTATCTGAGATACTCGAGTATCTGAGAGCTTGTCGCGGAAGCGGCCACAAGAGATACTCACTAGATGCTCGGTATGCTAATGACAGCAGCGTTGTCAGCGAACAAGTTTCGATTTCGATAGCGAATTAAATTGAAGCCGAAATTGTCTCGTGGCCAAACATTTGTTTGAAATGCACTCGGAAGAAGTGTCTATTGATTGCAGTCGGTGATGTAGACAGAAATTATTGTTAAACATTTTAAATAAGTAAACTATTACTACTAAACCGTTAAGTTTTTAAGTCCGCAGTTGGTAAATTTTATGTTAAAAAGAATCTGAAAAATCCCCAAAAAATCCTGGTAGGTCCCTAAGCCATTCCTACTTACGTGGGGTAGTTATCAGCGTGCTCGCAGTACGTCTTCCCAGGACGGGCACAGGTGGGCGTCTGACCAGGTGGTGCCGGGAGGAATTGGCAAGGCGGCGCTCCGTAAAGGCCACATGGCGGGGGCGAGCTGTGGGCGGCTACTGTATAAGCTAATATCTGAGGAATACAGAATTGAAATTATATCAAGTACTTAGATTACAAGGAGGACAAGGAGTACTCACCACATAGGTAAGGAGAACTTGGTTACAACTAAGAGACGGCGGACGTTTAATACTCTTTGTCATTGTCGATTCATTCGCCGTCGATTTGCATTTGCATTTGACTCGATTGCGATTCAGCAATTGTCTTCAACCCGAAGTCCGAAATCTGAAGCGAAAGAGAAACTGCCATGAGTTATTTTGGCAAAATATTACTATGGCAAAAAGTGCCCAAGTACCCGGCAATTTTTCACACCATTTCCCTGAGGACGCGAAACAGACAATAACTGATGGTTTTTCCGCAGCGGAAATGCCTCAAAGTGCTTATTTGTTGCTCGGAGTTCACTTGGGCTTATTGTTAAGTCAAACAATCAACAAACTAAAACAATAACATAAACACGAACCACACAGCCGACAACCTCTAGAGCAAACACCAGCCAAACAGCGCGAACAACTCCCGTAAATAGCGAAAATAAATTGCCAAAAGTGAAAGTGACGAACAAGCTCAAGACAACAAGATTAAGTATACGCAGATTAAGTATACGCCGCGGAGATAATGGACTGGTCACGCCCACAGCCATTGTGGGGGCGTTCCAAATTGGCAACCCCAGCTGTCAGCTAATGACAATATTTATAAACTCTAATGATTTATTAGAGCTTCTAATGGCGGGTTTTAAAGTGCCGGCATTTGCATGTCGAATAAAATGCATGTTGGCATGGACTATTTATGATTAGATCAAAGCGATTTAAAGAATGTTAACTAATTAATGTTAACAATTAACAAATATAAGAGGACAATAAATAGTTTGATGTGGGTTCCTAGTGGGGAAGCTAAAGGGGAATAACTAAAACTGAAACTTCCAAAAAATAATCACATAATCTCTAAAAACTGGAACTTTCCCAATTCACTTTCAATTTAATTTACACAAACTAAAGGTAATTAAGCTAAAAATAAATTCGTTACATATATGTCTAATTATTCTAATGCCATGCTTACAAGTGATCAAATCAGAAGCTGTCACTGTCCATGCGAAAAACCGGATTTCGTGTCAAGTTTTGCTTTAGTTTCGATAAAAATGTATACCACAATTATTTATAGAATGAAAAGCAATAACAATTCGCCATAAAACAGTCTGACATGGGTTGCCTGTAAAAGCTGTGAGCATTGAAGTATTCTTAGGAATTTCAACTGATACAGAAACACCTGCCACAAACTGTTGTAGGATTTCCGGGATCACAGGCTCTGTCGCACAAGCCAAGCAAAACAAATCAGTCAACAATCAAGCGCCAATGACAAAGTGTCGGGCAAGGTACACAGAAAATAAAATAAGTTATTATTAATAAGGGTTTATTATCAGTTTCCAATCAATAAATAATTTATCTTTCCATTAACAATTAGTAAATTTTAATCAAATTTTTAATTATTTCTTTCCTTTTCACTTTTAGTCTCTGCCTTTAAAGTAAAATTTAAATTAAATTAAAAATCGATTTGATGTAGTCACGTAATCCTAAGTTTTATGTGCTATTTTCTCTCTCTGCATGGAGCCCAGCTTTGTTTGGCGCTTGCGATCTGCTAATGGAGTCTTGCACATGGCTACTCCCACGTATGGCTGGTATTTCCCCGATGCCAAAGTTGCGCCAGGCGATCACCTCATAAATCACGGATCGGCCAAAAGAAGTTGGACACGGTCTTTGGCATTGTCTCCCTTTGGCAACTTTAGTGGCAGTGTGTTTTATGGTGTGTTTTGGGCCATTTGCACATCATTAGGCCGACGGGCCAAAAGTTAATGAAATTGTTAAAGATCTTTGACCAAGCTTAGGCGGCTAATCCATTCGCAGCGGTTTCATTTTTCGAAATTGAGTGCTCAACTTAGCTGGGCTCTCGATTCAATTTATTTGAATGATTTGGCCGCAAAATCATCTATCTATATTTAATTGATTATGCCCCGCCTGAGTAATGATCGATTGTCCGATCTTTATCTTTGTCTCGCCCAGACATTCTCACTTATTCATCCGATCGGAACTTTTTCACGGGGATGAGTCTAGATATTTTGTTGGTGGCTAATTGAAGTATTAGCAGGCTACAAAAAGAGCTGAATGAATGGAAGAACTGTCTAATAATTATGTGGCTAGTTAATTAAAATAAATGATAACTTGTTAATTGCTAAACAATCATGAAACTTTGTAGAAAAAGGTTTAACTTATATCAGATGTGAACCTTCCAAAGTAAACTCTTATCTAAATATAACATTTTAAGGGATATAACTTTATAGACTTTATAATCAGGGTTTTTACTTAGTTTAAGCTTGGGAGATAGACCTAAGCTTTGCTTACATCTTCTTGGCCAGACCTCTGACAGATTTTCCCACTTTTTGGTTGCCACAAAGAGCTTTGCTTATTTGATACCAATTTAGGGACTAAAACAATGGAATCGATTTGAGCCAGACAAATAGCGCTGGGCTTCATTATAATTTTTTAAACATATATTTTATGCCTGCATTTAGCTGAGAAATTAAGCACGACTTTTCAAGGCTACGGCCAGGTTTTTTCTCCCCACTCCGATGATATTTTGTTTTTATTTACCCAAAGTGTTGTCTGCATTTTTGTGGATTTTGTTTTGTGATCGCTTTGATTTAATTTGTGTTTACTGGTTTCCTAACATTTCGGTTACAAGTATATAGTCGAAGCAAAAATAAAACAATAAAATGTTATAATAAATCAGAGCTGCGATGACAGATTAATTAAATTTATTAATTTATGGCAGTGGGTTAAATTATTCGCTATATTAATTACTCACCTGGTGTGCGGCTTATTGTATGCTTTTTCGACTTTTTCTTCACTGATTAACCTTTTTGTTCACTGCACATTGCCTTTTGTATTTTTGTGAATTATTTTCTCTTTTTGCCAGCGAACTCACTTGAAAATTCTACTAATTAAAAAACTTAACACGTACCGAAGAGCAGCGCGGAGATTTCAATTTTGTATTTTTCGGCTTTGGGTTTTGGGTTTTCGATGTTCGATTTTCGATTTCGGTTTTTTGTTCCGTTTCACGCGTTTGCCAATGCTCACGGCAGCAGTTCGTAGCCAACTGAGAGGTCTTAGCCAAGTTAACACCAACACTAGCTGCCCTGAGCCGCCAACTCTGGGCAGAGCAAAGCAGAGCTTGGGCCAGAGCAGCGCCATATAGCCAAAGATATAGCCGGCTGTGATCTCCCAGGCTAATCTCTCAATTTGGACCGCTCAACTTTGAACTTTTTGGCCCGTGATTCATGTCGTTGGCCACATACTAAACTGTGATATGTGATTTGCGGTTTTCATTTCTTTTCTTTTTTGGCCCGATTCAAGACCGGAAGTCCAGTGGTTCGGGCCATTCAATATGACGCAGGCTTTATTTATTGACAACTTTTATTGTTTGTTTTACATTGTCGCCAATATGCGAACTGCAATAAAGTGAATTTATTTAAATTGTTAATTTCTGCCGCTCGCCAATTGTTGTTCGGCGCTGCCGCCGGTTTTGGCCCATAGATACGATTCATTGTTCGGGCTATGATTTTGGATTTTTATGGCCAATGAAGGTCATTTAACAGCTTTTATCTGTCGCAGATTTGTGACTGCTGCCGTTGATTTGATTTGATTTGGCGATGCCTCCGGCGCAGACATTGAATGTTGGCAAGAAAAGGCTTTTAATGGCCAAGACCACGCACAATTGTAGGAGTTACCTACGTTTTTGTCTCTCGACCAAGGCATTTAAATCAATTTTTGTTCGTTGTGCCAAAGCTGGAAGTATGAGGATTATGGCTGCTGGGGTATATTAACTGAATGGTATGGAAATTTGAAAGATTTTTTCGTTATTATATTTATTTATTAATCATCACTTGTTTGTTCTTGCCAAAAGAAGAAAGCGATGACCAACAATTGCTCTGACAATATGTTTTAATTTATTCCAGATTTTTAGAATCTTCAATAGTCTACGAAGGCTATACACTAACTATACTAATTATAGAAACTCTTAAAGGATCAGCAAATCCTTAACGTGGTTTTGGATTTCATTCAATAAAGACTCATGTTTAAAGTTTACTTAAGTTAAGTTAGCTATAAGAGGTGTACATACGAGTAAGCCTCCATAAGTACCTTACAGAGCATCCCTCAGTTCATCTCATAAAATCTCGATCACGATTTATGTTAACAGCTGATTGCCAATAGGCAATGTCCCATAAAGCAAGAGCTTTGCACTACCAAATCTTTCGAGGCGTTTTTGGAATTTTATCCGTTGCCTTGTTGGTTTCGTCGTTTAATTTTGGTTTTTTTCAGTCTTTTCGGTTTTATTTTTGCACAACTTTCACAAAGACGAGACCTAGACCAAGAGGCAGAAAAGTACGGGAAAACCCTCGCAGAAATCACGATATGGGGAGCTCCGAAGCTCTTATCGAAAATGGTTTTTAATGCGTTTTTAAGTCAAATTAGTGACTTCATCAGTCTGCCGGCCGAGCAGGCTCAGATTTGGTTTGAGATTCACTTAAGCCGCTCATTAATCAAACTCCGAGCCCAAGGTATCGGGACCAAAGTCATTTTATAACTTAAACTAATACATAGGCATATATGCATGTGGTTACATCCGTGGAAGGGCCACTCCCCCAACTGCCCACCGCCTCCGCTGTTGTAGGGCTAAGCTGCAATTGCGAAAGGGTTAATTAGAGGCTGGGCCAGGCCCAATGCCATCAGTTGGTTGGTTGGCCAACGAAACCATTAAAACCGTCGATTGCCCTGGGCCAATTCATACCTCTGTCGCATTATTTTGGTACCACTAACCCGTCAAACATCACCCGCTGCCCGTGACGTAATGGTAATAGCGGTCTTAGGCCGGCCACTTTTGAGTTGGGCTTATTTAATGACTTTCCTTCTCCAAACCAAAACCGCTCCGAAAACGCTAGGAAAACGTACGCAAAACGTTTCTTTGGTTGCGATCTTCGATTGGTAACTGACAAAAGCTGAATATTATATCACTCCCCAGAGAATATTTTACTGATTAAAAAGTTTAACAAAAATTATTCACGACTAATTGAATCAGAAATGAATTCTAATTAGGCATTCGATTTAATAAATTTACCAATTTAAATTGTTCTCTACTCATTATGGTAATTCCTTGCTTTTTTAATTATTCTCCTATAAAACTTTCGACCTCAAATTTTAAATCTCTTTCATTTTATGGCCCACCTGATAGCATTTAACAGTTTATAAAATAATGTTAAATTATGTTTTCGCATATATTATCAAATGCTATTCCTATTTTTTACTACCTCTCCGTTTTGTGGATAGCACACTATAAAAATGTGAAAACAATTCGTGCCGGGTGTTCTTTATGATTGTTTAGCCATAACAGCCTCCTCCTGTCACTTAGGGCATAATTTATATTCATGACTGGTCAAGGCGTCTAAGGAAAGCCCACGGAGCGGGGGAAAAGACAAAAGGGAAGCTGAAACTTTTCACCACATGTCCTTCAGATAAACAGGATAACACAAAAGAAAACCATATGCCTCGGATTTCAGCGCCATAAACTGTTGTGTTGCTCCCTCCGTCTACGCCTGTCATTTAAACTAAATGGCCATAAATAATGAGGACTTAATAAGTTTGAATGGCTGTCATACAAGACATTTTTTCTAAAATTTCTATAGAAACTTAAGACGAACGTTTAAGGACCGTATTGAACAGTAAGAGACATTTCAGATTCAAACTTAATACTAATTGAGATTATTATCAGTTTTCTTTCCAATTTTAGTTTGATTTCAGACAATTTTAAAGACATTATTAAGTATCTTTTTAAAGAAATAACACGTTTTTGTACTTACTATTTATCGCAGCAATTTATTTCGTTTAAAAACTCAAACAAACTACCAGGAATTCCCGTTTTCAACCCCTATTTTCATTCACGCCTTTTCCCTACGCCACTGCTTGCGTTTCGAAACGCCATCAGCTGGCCGCAAACTCACCACGACGCCGCCGTCAGCGGCAGCGCCGGATCCGGCTGCATGGGCTCCGGCGGAACGCTCTCAAAAGTGCTGGGCCACAGCTGAGAACGGACGTGTGTGGTGGGTGCTTGGAGGAGTGCTCCGGTCGTGTGTCGCACGGCGTATACTTAACATTGGACGCCTCGGTTGCCGTCGTGTGTTTTTCTGGCAGTTTGTCGGTTGGTCACTTGGTCAGTTGGTCAGTCAGACGGCGGCTGGCCATCAACTGTTACCAATCCAATGCAACTTCTAGCCTGGCAGAAACAAAAAGCAACAAAAACCCAAAACAAAAAGTGTGTGTGCGCGGAAATTCGTGAAAAAATGCCAAGAAGTCAATGAGGAAAAATTAAAAATTTCGAAAATAAATCAAGTGTGACAAGAGAGATTTGAAGAGAGAGAGAGAGAGAAAGCAAAAGAAAGCACAAATACCGAAACGTATAATCTGAAATCTAAATTTCTAGTGACGCGTTTAAAAGTGCAGAAAATGTGGCCATCGCAGTCAATCAATTGATTTTTCTTTTCGGCTAGAAGTTTGCTAAGGGGGAACTCCAAGATATTTGTATCTCTTTTGGGGTCACAGGACATTAATAATGCCAAGGCAGCGGGTTCGAAGAGTTCTAAAGGCAAAAACTACACAGAAATGTTTATCTGGGTAGCAAAACAAATTGCCAAACGGAAGCCCAAAAACCAGATCGTCGAAGCCCAGAAAAAAAGGAACAGGGTCATATGATTGACAATAGTTAAATTGGGGGTTGCTAGTTCTGGCGTCAGGCGGGAAAAGTCGGAAGAGCCAGACAACAGACGCGGCGTCGCAATAATCATAAAGGCAATAACAACACGGCCAACGAAATCATAAATTCATGTGTCAGCGATTCGGGCTTCCTAGGGGGTTATCTGGTTTTCAAGGGGGCTTTCGCCTTTCTTGGGGGCTAAAGTCTCCCCTTGATTATTCATTCATGGGTCGTAATTAGCCGAGTAGTTGCAGTTGCCTGAATAATTTGGCAGCCACAACGCAACTTGGCCAATTAGGCGCTTAAAAGATATGTGTATATATGTACCTGCAAACAGAGACAGGTGGGCAGCGCACACTTTTCGCTTGACTAAGGTCAAAAGTTGTCTCCCTCTCCATAAAGATGGTCCACCTTCCTCTCATCTCACCCAAAAAAGAAAATAAGAAAAATAGAACCCATCTGAACTTGATGCTGTCGCTGAGACTGCCGACGCATCGCGAGGCTATGGCGGCTATTTTTAACAAAAAAGCACGCCCGCACGGCCAATAAATTTACCCAGAAAATGAAAAGCCAAAGAAATGAAAAAGGAAAACCGAAAGAGAGAGATCAGGAAAGTAGCATATATGTAGGCATCCGAGGCATTCATATTAATTAAACTTTGCAAGTCCAAATCTACTTTGAAAACTTCAAAACTCATTTCTTTCGGGGCGGAATGTAGTTGTCAAAACGCACGCACAGCAGGAAAAACAAACCAGCGGGAGAGAGCAAAGTCCCAAAAAAGAGAGCCAGAGTTTTCCTAGCTAGAATCACCAAGAGAGAGAGAGAGGGAGAGCGAGAACGACACACAGCGAGAGAGAGAGGCTTTTCCAGGAGGTTTGGGCCTTCCAAAATAACACATTCCTCGTACAAAGGATTGGCTTCGCATTGACATTGGAAGCTTCTCGGTTTTCCGCTTTTCCTGCTGCTCGAGTTTGGAGTTTCTCCGACGCTTTCAGTTCGTGGCTAGACTTTGGAGCGTGCTGTGCTTGGAAAAACTGTGTGCGTGACCAGCGGAAAATCGGAAAGCCCCCCGTCACCTCCTCCTCCTTATACCGTACACACCGTACACACACACAGACACACTTTTACACCGCATTTTCCACAGGCCAAATGTGTAATAAAATCGAAACAATGGAACAGCAAACAAAACAACAGAAAATATAATACCGAATTGAAGTTCATTTGAATTGTGAGTGTCGGGGGCCGCAAGAAAAGTGTTTTCCCTCGGTGAAGTAAGGCGTGTACCACCCGTATACGTACGAATACAAATACAGTCGGGAGAAACGTAAAGGAAAGAAAAGGCCCGAAAGGCAGACAGATAGGCTGGCGGAAAAGAAAAATCCGCACTAGGACTGGCATTACCATAATGCCATTGAATAAGTTTGCCTTGGCGAAATTCTAAAAAAAGGTTCCCCGAAACGGTGTCTAAAATAAGATAAGTTTTTCTTTGTTTTCCAGCGCGTGTGTCTGTGACAAATATTTTCCTAAAGATAATAAGATAAATGAAAATTCCCCCCAATACAATCGGAAAATGTAAAATATATATATTCCTATGCCATAACAAATAAACACAAAATCAAAAACTTAATCAACGCTTAAACAAAACCCCAAACTAAACCTAAACAAGACGCCAGTGAAGTTAATACTCTTTAGTTGGTGAGTAGAACTAACTATAAAATAGTTTTTAAGCATTAAACATATAATTCTTGTATAGAAAACTTTCGTGAGATGGTGAAATTACTTCCTCTGCATTACTGGCATATTTTCCTTTATGAATTTATGCTAATACAATCGATATTTCGACTCGTGCCGCACTTTTGGCAACTTTACGAGTCAATTAGCGTTTGTAATTTGACATGCTACTTACTCTGGTTCTGGCTTTCCACAAGCCCTTATTCCTGAAGCCCTTTTCGCAGCTTTCGGCTGGGGTTTTTATCGGCCGCAATTACCCGAGCTGCGCAAACACATTTCCCAAGTTGTCAAACGGCCTTAATGGCACCTATGCGGGATCTGCCAGCCCCAGTCGAGTCCCTGCCCCGCCTCCAACCTAGATAAGGAATAAAAATAATATAATACTCATGCTAGTTGACAGACAAGCCAATAATCAAGTGATGTGCCGCAAATATTGTGATAAGGCGGCACCGCCTATATTCACCTCGCCATATTCGCCCCTTTTTACCACCTGCAGCAGGGAAAACAGTGGGAAAAGCGGGAAAGTTTCTGGAATTTATTGGGTAGGAAATTCGGCTGGCTGGGCGAGGCTGGGCCATAAAATATACTTAGTCCAAACATTGTTCGCAGGTGATAAAATTGCTTTAGATGTGTAAACAACAACATTGCACGCGTCTTAATGGTTTGCCAATTTCTGCTCCGTGTTCGAAAGGCGTGGCCCACCTCCACATCCAGAGCAATTTTGTCCAAATTGAAAGGTTTCCAAAGGGATTGACAGGATTGCCGGGTTTGTTAGGAGCAAGTGAAGCGGAAAAGCCTGTTAGAGGTATGGAAAAATCAGTAAGTGCACTCGAACACGCTTTTCTTATCCTCAAATCAGCTTAAACTAAATTGGAATGTAGGTAAATCTGTTGCCCAGCTATAAAGTAATATGTTTTGAATCACTGCCCTGCTATATAAACTACTTAAGTTGAATATTGAAATCTTAATCTCAGCGTATTAAACTAAATAAATCAAGGCTTAAGTGGCTTTGTTAGCTTACCATTCAAATCTAGACTAATCTAACATTCTTTGGAATATTTTAGGCATTTCCTTCATGCCAAGGCACATAATTTAAAAAGTTGTAATAAATATACAAACTGCTAAATCAGGAATATGATAAATCAAAAATAAATTCTGTGAATCTAAAATAGATTGCAAACTCAGAAAGTTATTTCCGCATATTCTGTATTTGTTTGGCTTTATAATAATCCAGTTTAGTAGCCAGTGCGAGTATCTCTAGCTGCCACTCAGCCAAAAGTTGGTCCTGAAGGTTGTCCATAAATTTGGTCTTTGGTCTGCGCTTCTGTACTTATTTATCTTTGCACAGTTGCCAGTTAAAAGCTATGAATTGTGTTGGCTGTCGAAATAAATACCAGACCGTTGCAGTCTGACATTTTTATGGCAGTTCCAAATTATTCAGCACAGCAATAGTAGAAAAAAGGGAGATGCTCGGGAATATTCTGAATGAAAATTCCAAAGGGTTATTTGTTGGGCTTCCACCATCATATTTTTCTTCTCTTTGGGCGCAAATTGCGGCCTCAAATTTATATATTTGCTGTGGATTTAAATGATTTGTCAACTCATTGAACACATGGTATTTGGGCAAACAATGGTCGAGTGGAGGAAAGAAAGTTGACCTTTATTCTCGAAGTATTTGTTAATGTTCATGGCCCATTAGTCGGCCAAGTTAGGCTTTTACTAGAGTTCTCAAAGCGTGGCATCGCTTATTTGGGCCATTAAAGTTGTTAACTGGATTTGAGGCCACCGAGGCTATCCCCTATCCATCCGCTTGCCATGGTTATAGTTTTTTCTCGCCTGCACATTAGTTATCCCGGATGTGCTTTTTTCGGCCTGATGACGTGCATACGTCGAACTTCGGGCTTATCTCGCCCCTTTTTCTATACTCTAGACCCCTAGATTTTCTCCTGCTCCTCCCGGTTCTTGCCACCACTTGAGCGGAGTCAGCGAAGAGCGCTTCCATTCATGTTTGAGGGCACATAATCAATATTTGGCAAGCAGCCGAATCGCATATGACAAACAGCGACAGGCCCAGAACTACGCGATATATGTACGCTATATGGAATATGGTATATCGTATAGGGTATAAGTGTTACGGGTTACGGGGACGACTTGGGGCTCCAAGGAGGAGGCCCATTGCCATCCCATCAGCAAAGTGCATCAGCCCATTGAATCCTGCCTGAGTGGGCTTTTGATGATTTACAAAAACGGATTTTGTTTTTGCCAGCGATACTCTTCTGCATAAATAAAGCAGGGAGTGCAGTTGATTTGCTAGTAAGTTCTGCAATGAAAAGTTAATTGTTTGGGAATAGAAAAGGTAGGAAAAGTAACTTGAGTTTACTGAAAAAAACAACCTGATTTTAGAATTAGATATTAGATATTAGATATTTGAAATGTTTTGTAGCTTTGGTTATCCTAATTGGTAAGGAATTTCATTTCAAGTAAGTCACTTTTTCCCACGAAGGGTATTTCGAATTCCCCATTGAAATTATGGCATTTAAATCCGCTTTGGGCATGGGCAAATCAACTTCTTGTCGGAGTCGCTAGTTGAGCTTTGTGCAGCTCCCCGAGGCGATAAAAATCAATGGCAGTGGCAGTCAGCGAGTCGCAGGCTACGGATATTATTGCTTCGTAGTTTTTGGCACACATGCAATGCCACGCTGCCTACTCCTGCGCTTTCTCCACTTTCTTTTCTTGCCTTATACCGTTTCTCCTTTGCCTGGAGCGTGGGAGTTCAAAAGTCGCCGCTCTGCTGACATGGGCCGCAAAGTGCATTCGGCGCTGTGCATTCTGCAGGTGAAAGATTCTCTGGCGTGGGCGTTACCCGGCGCTCAGACGACAACACAATTGGATTTAAGGCAAGATGTCAGCGAAAAGCGGGGAAAATCGTGGAAAACCAGCCTGAGCAGTCAAAACTTTTGGGATTGTTGTCGTCCCCCTTTTCATTTCAATTTTTGTGTTCGCCAAGCCTTGTTTGTCAAGGCAGAGCTGCCAAGAAAACGGCAGCGCGCCACAAATTTTCCCTTTCAATTGGACAACTAGAGCGGCAAAGGGGGTCAAGACGAAAAAGCTCCCGTGCAGTGAGAGAAAATCTGACTTAACTGTATTTGGGACTAAGAAAACATTGTGAAATTTATATTTTTTGACAAGCAAGGCAAAGAATTTCCCTGCTTATTTTCCCTCAATGTATGAGGTCTCCTCCCAGGCTGCCACAGACTTCTGGAGCCTTCTCGGATCTCTGATTCGAAGCCTGCTGGCTTATTTATTCATTTACTTCGAGTGGATTGCATTTGGCTGAGAGATGGAGTGCCAATTGCTCACGCCTAAGGGATTCCGCTTCGATGTGCTGCGCAACGCGGCGTATACGCAATGCGATTAATCTTAGACGCCCAAAACGAAGCTCATTAGCATGGAAGTGGAAGTGGAAGTGGAAGTGGCAGTGGAAGTGTTGAGGGCAAACCAAAAACAAGAAAAAACTGTGCAAGATTAATTGTGGGTCGTGCTCATCTTAGCTCCTCTTTTTGGCCACTTTGGAGGCGGCCTCTCGTTTTGGCCTAAGTGCCAGCACATTTATGCTAAATGGCCGGCCAAGAATTGTCTGCGGCAACAACTTGAAACTAATTGCCTCTTGACTTTCCCTCCATGTGGGTGGGTCGCTCATCTCCGTCACTTCCTCCGCCCCACTCTCTGGCATCCCATTTTGTCCTGGCATGGTAATTGTTCACGGAGAACTGCACTTAAACACACAACATTACCGGGAATGTGTGGCAAAATGCTGAAATGCAATTGCCATTGCGGCTGTGCCTCGATGTGCGATGTGGTACACCTCTAATGACACAGCAATGGACACAGCAAGACTGCAAAAGCCACAGGCAAAATAAATAAAATAGAGAAAATGCTACGGCAATAGCAGCGGCGAATAAACTTGGTCATGGGGCTAAAAGAGTCAAAGGATTCAAGTCACACAAAAACTTTTAATTATACTAAAAGGTACATTTAAATTGATTGTTCGGGAGATCTTTAAGGAACAAAAGGGAATTCCTCTGTTTTTAGAGGAAAACTTATAGTAATTACCGATTATTATTTCCATTAGTTAATTGAAAAAGCTGCTAATTAAATAAAATTGATTTGATGACCCCGAACCTGCGTCTAAGCAATCCTTTAAGCAACTTTACCCAAAACTAAGTAATCAAAGGCCAAGAAAGTAATTATACTGATAATCAATCACCGCGCACTTCAGCCAAGTTTCATTACGAAATTAAACTCGGTTTCATGGAGTGTGATTCCTGGGAATCTTTTTGCTGCATCCGAGTTCTTCCCCAGCTGCCACGACGAGTCCTTCCTTCAGCAAAACCACGCTTTTCCGCCTTTCTCGGCGGTAATTGATGAAGGCAGAGGGGCAAAGGGGAAATGGGTGGAAATGCCAAGGCTGTTGCAGCCACCATTAGCGTCATCATCACCAAAGGAATGATAATTTAACTTCATGACTGCCTTGGTTTTTTCTTCTCCTACTTCGCCCAAGTGATAAGTACCTAAACATGGGTTTTCCCTTCTCCGCTCACATACTGGCATAATTCTTTTTTAATGGCGTTGAGATTCAATTAAGTGAAACCCTTTCTCTTGTCATTTCTAGAAGTTAAATGAAAATTCAGTTGGGTTGCGCTCGGGAAAAGAGCGTGGCATGCCTTGCTTGCGTATGTTTGTGATATCTTAATAAAGTTAAAAGAGCTGGCGCTTTTTGTTCCAACTTGTTACTGTCATCTGCACACGATTGCGAGAAGATATGGAGAAAAGCGGGGAGAATTGAGAGGGAAATGTTTGAGAAAAACCGGGGCAGAGGCTTCGAGGACTTGGCTCAAAGTTTTCGCTTTTTGCTGGCGACATCCTGGCCTGTGCGCCAGATCAAAGCTGCTCAAGGAAATTGA